CGACGACGGCGGCGACGACGACGACTACTAAAACAACAACCACAACAACAACTACTACTACTAGTCCTTGACATCTTAGGCTCTCAGTGTGTTCGCCGCTAGGTTTGGGTTTAGGGTTTAGGGTCAGGGTTTAGGGTTTAGTAAAGGGTTTATGGTTTAGGGTTAGGGTGTAGGGTGCAGGGTGCAGGGTTTAGGGTTTAAAGCCAGCATGGATCGAAGCCATTACGAGAACCTTTCCCCTAAAGATCCTTAACCCAACAACCCTAAGTTACTTGGTTCTTAAGCTAAAGATAGCTGCAACCTAAATTGTTCAGTCCCCAACTATACCCCCTGCCCTCAGATCTCAAAGAGCTGGTATCCTTAACAAACTTTCGGTGCCCAGTACCCGAATCCATCAACCGTAGCAGGAGGATCCGCAAAAGGGGCCGCCCAGAAATGGAACCCGAAGCGACCGCTTCAAATTAAGGACTTCTTCGACCCCCAATATGATGGGGGTCCTCATACCCCGAAGAAGTTGATGTGATCTTCTCTTTGGTGCCTGAAAGCAGGGATTCCTAAACTCTAGACCCTCAGCCCTAAGCCCTTAAACCCAACTTTAAATCCTAAGCCCTAAGCCCTTTCACACCCTAAATTCCCCTAAAAGGTACCTAGTATATATGGGGCCGTGGGGCTCTAGTACCCTATATAGCAGGTACCTGGGGGGGTTAGGGTTCAGCCCACTTGAACCCAAGCTCGCGCCTGGAGGAGCAGCTGGAATTCAACGCCTGGAAGGAGTGCTTAGAGCAGGCCAAATATATCGAAGGGGGTTGGTTGGCTTCGGGTTTAGAGGGTTTAGTAGCTCAGACTTGATTGAAGCTTAGGTTTAGGGTTTAGAGGGAATTTAAAGCTTGGGTTTAGGGTTTATTCTGCGGGTTTTAGGATTTGGTAGCCAGTCTAGGGGGGTGGAGTGTTCCCTCTTTGTGTTTAGGAATGGTTTAGGGTCCGGGTGTTCAGGGGGGGAACCCTAAACCCTAAACC